ACCAGTGGCAGATATCTCTTGATGACATGGTTATTTTGTACTGTAATGGAGCATGTACTCCGTATGCGCTGTGTCGATAAAAAATTAGCAGCTCTTGGCTGGGTGTCATTAGCCTAACCTCCGCGTGTCATGATCCATCCCCATAGATTGCATAGATTACATACAGGAGTGTGTTCTGGACCTCTTCGGTTGCTGTGACTCCACGAGGCCCAATAGTGAGACATGACAAGGGTGATTTGCAAACATATTTTTCGTTGCTGTGCGGAATTCTGCCAGCCATGTTTCGTGGGCTATTAATAGGCTTGTCCCCAAAGAGTCTTCATAACTGATCATATTCATCGGCGTGTTACCTTTTATATACCTGGGATCCTGTTTAAAACATGGCATCCATGCCCATCCAAGAAGGCGTTGCACGTTTTAGTTCTGTTTTTGTGACTTGTTGGCTGTTAAGGATTGTCCCTACTTGTCTGAATCCACCACGACACGGGCTGAGACTTGCATCGGGTTGATCCTTCAAACATGGGGCGGGTCTCGAATCCCAGCGCTAAATACCGGTAATAATACCAAATTCGGTGCTAACGGAGAGGAAGACGAACAAGTGGGAGGGAAGGAAGGAAATCACCATGGACAACAGAGGAAAATCGGGGGGGGGGGGGGGGGAATGGTGGCCCTCCCGTGTACTGAGGAGTGGGTTGGGGCAAGCCAACCAAACCCCTGCCCCCATGAATCCCCCCCCAATCGAATGCCACTGGGACAACCATAAATGAATTGATATCAGGAGAGAGCCGTATGGAATCTTCTATCAAAAGAGAAAAAGCAACAACTCCACAGTTAATGTGTTCCGTAGGTCTGGTTCGCGGATGCAAATGTTGCTTTAGAGAACCAACAGCCAGATTCCAACCAACTTCTGTGGAAAGGACAAAGAAGGGCAAAATAAAATACGGAATTCAATCGACTGTCAACCAGAGGTCTATCACAAGTTGTCTTTTTGGGATGTTACCCGCCAAGCTGCCAGATGTCCTGCACAGTATTATTGTTATTACGACCTTTTATTATTTCCCATGGGTTAGAATAAACCGAATCAAAATCCTCGTCATGAAACTTGTGCAATCACCACACAAGAAGCATGAATTGGTGGTATCCAGTTCATATTGGAACTTTTTCCAAGAGCCACCACAATCATGTGATTTATGCACCTGGTCGAGTAATCTGAATGAAATACAACAATGGAGTCTAAATCTATATCGAAATCAAGAATAGAACAAGATCAGAAATTGCTCATCACTTTAAAAAAGCTTTATTTCTACTTCTACTTTTTATTTTTATTTTTTCCTTCAAAAGGAATATACACTATGTGGTATATGCTTTTCTCTGCTTTTCTTTCAACCAGTCAGCAATCCAAGAATAACATCTTGTTCTCCCTTGATGAAATGGATATTGAGGGGAAACAAATGATTCCCATCACCAGGTTCAGTCAAGACAGGTAAAACCAGCCTCTTCTCTTTTCCTCGCCCCCCTGTCATTTTATCAGACACATCAATGAACTATGGGCTTTTTTTTCATTTTAGTGCGTTTTGCCATCAGTGTGTGACCTTTGAATCATCCCATCCAGTCTATTGATTTTTGTCTCAGTTGCTTGCAACAGCAAGCAGAGAAACCCATGTCAAAATGTAACCCCCACAAGCTGCCTGCAACGGTGTTTAAACCTTTAGTATGAAGGCAAGAGAAATATTAGAACCCATTTCGTTTCGGTTTTTTTTTTTTTTTTTTTTTTTCCTTGTTCAGTCCGTTTGGACGAACAACAAGTGCTGTTTGTTATTCGACAGCATGGCGATATTACCACGATTGTTATATTCCTCGGTCTCCGATACGTACAAGGATCTTAAAGACCCAAAAAGGTCCAAGCACCCTGCTGTCATCAATAGCAGCATCCTTGTGGGAACGATACCAGGGTCCCAATCTATCATTTTACTTTTTCCACTCCCATCCC